GGAAAAAACCCTATACTTTTAACTAACCATATGAGCTCAAATTTTACATTTTCTGTAAAAATAAAGCTTACTCACGCACACAACTGCATTTGCATGCTTTCAGTACTCAGAATCTTCCAAAACAGAAGACAAAAGACAAAATATTGGACAGGGTAAAGAGAATCACAGACTACGGGATGTGAAACGACACAGCTACAATTACTGGCTGATCATACTTACTCTGCATTCAACAGCAGCAGACCATTAAAGCCCTTAATACTTTCATGTCTGCATTGTTCACTAGTCTGGTGAAACAGTTTAGTGCTGCTCTAGCTGATGAGGGATCAAAATGTAAGCAATTCATAGAAAGCTTGCTCTTAGTCAACGGTAGAAAGGAAGACTGCCACTCGAGGTATTCACTGCCTACATCTGAGCAGCATCCTCTGTGCAAACTGTTTGTTACAATGCCAGGTTTGTGGAATCGGTGCTGAAACCAGGAATACTGTTCTGCCAGCTGGTGATTAGGGATCGGTTGGTGCTGAGCAGACAGGTCAGTAATCTAATCATAAAAGTGCTACAAAAGCTGTAAGTACTCCAGTATATTTCAGGGGTATGTGAAATTTTGATCAATGAAATTAGTTAGTCGTTTCACCTGAGACAGAAGTAGTACATCTTCTGTCCTAGAATAAGAGCCTCGGGAAGTGGACTTCTCAGACCTGATTCACCAAAACCAGAAATGCTTGTAAACAGCAGAAACAGGAAACTTCACTGGGATTAAATAGGGAAGAATGATCTATGCAATTAAACTCAATATTCAGAGAGCTGGGAAAAAAACAGTCCCTCCAGTCATTCAGAAAGTGTTGACTAAGATTTTTGTTTCACTCATGCAAAGCTTGGAAGTCCATTTAACAAAAAGTACCGTCTTCATTTCAGAACTGATACACATCCTTACAATCCATCTAATTGATCACGAGAAGCATGTCAATCAGAATTCCACAGCAAGACTGTTCATTATTTGTGCCTAATTACTGAAAGTACCTTTAGCGAGTCTTTTTCTTCAGGTATTTAGTTGAAGTGACATGCCTACGCAGTCAGATTACAGAGTACTTTATATCAGGCACTACATACTAGAATTGGTAAAGAAATCTCCCAAACTTAGTATCAAAATACTGTCATTATAGTAAAGAGGTTTTAAACATGCAATAATTAATTCTTTGCTGTATGGAGAACACATTCTTTCCTCCATTTCCATCTGAAAAATTTAGGGTTTTGCCTTCCGCCTCCCCCAAACTCTATAAAAAACATCTCAAGAACTATGTAAATAATTTGGTACTTAAACAATAAGGAAGGGAAAAAAGTAAAGTGCACACGTTAAGTATATAATATGGTTCAATACAGTTATACAAAAGGAAAAGGTTTTGCTGAAATGTTGAACAGAAGCAAATACTTCTAGGAAAACCCAAGAGGTTTATGATTACTCATCTGAAAGCATATCCAATCATTCTTACTCTGTTGTCACCTATTTACAAAGGAAAAGGTGAAAAGTTGTCCATCTTTAGGTGTCAAAACCAACTGGACCAAAGAAACACATAAAAAAACCTTCCACTGCTGCAAGTTCTGCTCTCCTAGTAAAGAAGGGAAAATCAGCATATTCATGTTACTTTTGAAAACTGGATCAATGGGTAGTTTTTCCTGCAAGACCTTTTCTCTCAGCCCCATCACTGAGAAGGAAAACCAACATGCTAAGCAGGAAATTCCCAATTCCAAATGATCCCGTTTAATCTTGTCAGTTCAGCAGCAATTCAGTCCAAATTCAGCAGCACACGTCTTGCACACGTAAAGTAGCAGGGATTCCACAAATCCATCTGGAGGAGCTGGCAACTTGCTGCCCTTACATTCCCCAATCCCCAAAAAAGTTACTGCTATGATGTTGCCCTTACAATTTTTAACAACTTATTTCAGTATGAAAATACTCAATATACTTTTGATACGGGTAAGAGACTTCCTACAGAACTCAACTAAATTTTTACCCAAATACTCCCCAGGATTCAGAAATAAAGACATGTACATTTTAATGCTTTAGTTTTACTTAAAACTCATTTCAGCACTTCCTAAGACACTTCCATCCATTATAGCATGGAAACTTTGTAACATTTTAGAAGTGAAATACATGTTTTGAAAACAAAACAACTCTCTCCCCAAACAAAAAAAACACAAACACCTAACTAAAAACCCACAAGCCATCATCAAATCCACTAAAAGGAAAAAAAAAAAAAGGCAAAAATAGGTGTCAGCTTCATAACAGTTAGCCTTAGGACTTTCCTGTGTTTAAAAAGGAATTCCTGTAGTAGAGACGCAACTTACACCAGTAAGGGCCAGTCCTTCCCTACCCAGTCAGAGCCAGTGGGTGGCTGGGGCGGTGGGGATGTGTTTTCACATTAACACAAAAACTCGTCACACTACAAAGCTGTAATAATCCAGATTTCTTCCCAGATTGCAGTTGTTCTGCACATATTATTTTATAACACTAAAAGTGAATTGAAATGTTTCTTTCCTAAAATACAACCAAGGGAGACTTACACAGCTGTCTGACAATTCCGTCTCAACGAGAGACTGTTCAGGGAACATGCTCTAATTTGGCAAAAAAGTTTCTTTAAACTGATTTTGGGTCATATAAAAAATAAACAAATGGAGAGTTTATTTAAGTGGCTTGTAGGATTCACAGAGTAACGAGCGCAACTTTTTATATAACCGTATCTACGCCACTGCAGTGTAAAGCCTAAAGCCATTCAATAAATTCATCTACTTATTTCCGAAGTACTGTAGTGATTTAAAAATTTTTGTAGTAAGTTAAAATCTTGACAAGTGACAATAAAGGCTTTTCTGAGCTGTGTTTCCACTGTCCTAAGCGTTTCTGAAGCAAGGCGGTGAAGGTGCGGCGACTCTTCGCAAGCACAGACCCACTGCAAACAGGGAGGGATTCCTGCAGAAAAGGAAGCTGGGCAGCAAACAGCAGAGCAGCTTCTGTTCAAGCTTCATAAATAACTGCACTGGAAAATATTCTGTTCTGGGCTTTCTGCCACACAGGAAGGGTGTTGAATATGTCAGTGTCCATAATTATTATCAACAGAAAAAATGCCAGAAAGTAACAGTTCAGCTCTTAATTCTTTCAAGTTATCATTTTCAAGAGTGAAGTACAACTTGCACCTTCCTCCCCCTTGCAATGTGTCCACGCATCTTAAAGTTAGGCTACAGGTCTGAAGCTCGTGTTTCATTATTAAGCACAACTTTAATTTTCTTTTCTCCTTTCATCAGAATCGAGTTACTTAACAGTCCACATATTTAAAAGTCTTTTTATGAACGGAAAGGGGAAGAGGTTTTAACCTCCTTTTTAAAATGAAGAAATATTCCATTATCATTCTTTTCTCCAAGAACAAGATAAAAACATTCCTTGGGTAGGAAAGGGGATGTTAATAAACGCCTTTTTACTGTACACCTATCATGTATCAACCCAATACAGACAACGCTGTCATAATGGTCTGTTCAGACCAAAACTGCCCAAGAGCAGTTCTGGCCAGCAATCACAGCAGCCAGGTTACTGGCGGTGATCACTGGTAATCACACGCTGTCACTTACTGCAATGCTGCTCAGCAACTCAGCTGCGGGTCCGAGCACGCAACAGAACACAGACCCACTTCAAATCACCACGAACGCACTGTCAGCACACCAGTTCTGCACTTGTGATGAGCACACAGCCAGCCACGGCCCCAGACGACGAGGGGTGACGAGATCACTTAACTCAGAGGCTGCAACTACTTGTATCTCCACATTGGAAGATCCAGTATTAGTTTTAGTACCACTAGGAAATTACTAGGGTTGCTATTGTCATCTTAAAATACTTTCAAAACTATTAATGAAAAGAAAGATCCAAATTTCATCATCCTAAAGAAGATTTTCATTTAAGACTGAGGGTTCTACAGGTACAAAATCTGTTGCTGTCAAGACCTTTTAAACTAATTTAAACATTAATATGGGACAATGTCAGTGTCCAATATGTCAGTGTCCATAATTATTATCAACAGAAAAAATGCCAGAAAGTAACAGTTCAGCTCTTAATTCTTTCAAGTTATCATTTTCAAGAGTGAAGTACAACTTGCACCTAATATGAGAACTAATACATCAAGAGTTTGCATTTGGAGTTAATATGTTGAATCGAGTACTCATTTATCTTAAAAGTAATTCTGAAAGAGACAGAAAAGCAGATTGATTCTGAAATTCAGATGTTACAATTTCTGTATTAAGCCAAGAAAGACCATCATTATTTCCAGTTCTGAAAATGAAATGCAAACTATTACTTCTCTCTTTGTGGTGCATTTTTTAAAAAAAAAAAACACAAACAAACAAGCAAAACAAACCATAATAAACTTTTAGTTGCAATGTTTTTGTAAAACTGCAATTTTTTTCTCCCTTGAATGATCTTTACAAATTCAGGCTGAACTTGATTTCAGTTTTATTTTTCCTATAGAGACTATCACTAAGATATATGTCCATAAATGTGCTGCAGATTTAAAATATATTGGTATTGATAACTGATACCAAACTCCAAGTTTAAACCCCAGTCTTTAACAAAATACAATGAAGCATACCAAAACTGTTATATGCAAGTTTCTGTAACACTGTACACAACTTTGCAGGACGTACAAAAAGGAGCGGTTCTCACTGTTGCATCATTTCTACACTAGTTTTTCTTTTTAAACAATAAACCTTCATTTCAAGTCTGATTTACAACAACAGTGCATACATTCCAAGAGATACAGAACACCATAATGCCACTTCTGTTCAGTGCAATTAAACGAACCCTTTATATTCAGATTCTAACACTCTGACCTACAAAATATACTATTCCAACACTAGTCAACACATTTTAGAAACGATGTTTTTTCCCAGCAATGCAATAAAAGACAATGGTTAACTCCACAACGCATACTGAATTTCTGAACTGCTGAAAATAAGGCATATACCTGTTCCTTGACAGAAGCTAAAATGGTAGTGGCAGTAGTCTCTGGTTCCATGCCTGGGCCTGTGGAAGTTTCCTGTGTTGTCCGTGGTAGCCCCTCCTCTACCATTGGGGTCTGCTCAGGGGCTGGCATTTTGCCTGCAAAAGCAATATTTTAAAATGAGTTTACATTTTGAGCCAGTTTAAGAAAATTCAAGTTTTCAGGACTATACATTTTCTTATCTTTTTTCCTGAAACCTTTGCAAACTTAACCAAACTAGCAGAGAAGTAGTATCACCATCGGTTGGTATTACTGCACTTCACCTTCACAAACTGAAATCAGAACACCTATGTGAGGGCTGGGCAGAAGCAACCAGGCAGCACGACGTTCAAAGATTATTTTTAAAATACTATTTTGTCATAGTTACTAAAAGCAGCAAAATCCAAGATGTGTGAAAAATACTGGTGTTAAACATTGAGATGGCGCAGGATCAGTACAAGTTTACCACGTGCAGTTTTTAGCACAGAATAATGACGTGTAACAGCAGAGGGCTTTGCTATTAGGAACAAACCATGGAAGAGACTAATTATGGTAATAAAAAGTTAATAGGAATAATGCTTCTAGTATTCTTTTTGCAAGAGAGGAAATTAAAAGACTGAAGTTAAACCAATTGCCCTGGGCTATGGATAGGTGGAAAGGACAGGCAGGATTAGCATTCAGGAAGCCCAAGCCTCACAGTGGCAGAGGCAGCACACAAACAAATCTCAGAACATGTGAAAAAGGCAATTTGTTTGTTTAACTATAGAAGTCACATTAACTAATATTACAGAGATAGTTACGAAGTGTGTTTAACACTCTGCAAACAGCAAGTGGGCGGTATTGATGCAGCTCCTGCATATGTACCACGCTTTAATTTCCTTCAGAAAAAAGAAAACAAAGCGCTTCTCCCTCACAGCCCCTCAAGGCACCTCAGAACACAGTGAGCTGATTTTTTAACGACCCAAAAAAAAGAGAAGGAAAAAAAGAAAAGAAAAAAAAGGGTAACAACCATTTCTGCCCCTGCCGCTTCATCAGACTCGGGCGATCTCAGTCTGAGCCGAAATGTCCGCGGGCACGTCTGAAGGGTCCGGCGGCAGGAACAGAATTGCTCTGGAGAACACGGAACTGCTCTGGAGAACACGGAACTGCTCTGGAGAACACGGAACTGCTCTGGAGAACAGGCACGAAGTGATCCCGCACACGGCTCGGCTCACCGGGTGCTACCGAGCGAACAACCAGCCGTGCCTGGCCGTTTCTGAAACACTTCCATCCATTGCAAGCTTGCAGTTACAAAGGTTGCCACACCGAGGTTTTCACACGCCAGCCCTGGCCTGGCCAACACCCAAAGCTTGCAGGACTCCTGCTTCTACAAGAACGAGTTAAACGTCATTGGAGAAAGCAGAATAAAAAACGTGCTCTAGTAGTTATACAACAGGATTTTGAAAAGTCAAAGTGAAAGATGAAAATAAAAATATATTCTTTTAAGGTTTCACTTGTAAAGATCAACTCTTTAATCAAGCTGTAATCACAGAACATGTTACAATTCCCCGGGTCACACCTTACTTTCTAAATCACTTTCCAGAGTTCCTTTATGACTAGAACTCAGTGTTTCAGGTTTCTAAATTGACTGTTAAATTTGCAAGCGTATCATGAAGCCATAAAACTACTCAGTCAAGCTTTTCCTTCATTTAGGAATATTTGCTAAGTAATCCAAAGGCCAAATCCCCCAAACTCTCACAAGTTACACATGAGCTTCTTTCAGAAATGGGCTGCCCTCTTGTCCATGCATCCCAACGCACCTCCACCTGCACAGTAACCAGGGGAGTGTCCATCGGGTTTTAGCACTCCCAAGTGAGAAACACAAAAGACAATAGAATAATAAATAAGGCCAATCTCCTAAATAAATAAAAAGCAGCACTGAATTCTCAATTATGCAGAGTTCTTGCTTTAAATCAGTTAAGTATTTAGATACGTCGTGGTTTAACCCCGTAGGCAGCTCAGCCCCACACGGCCCATGGGAATGGGGAAGAGAACTGAAGGGCAAAAGTGTGAAAACTCACGGCTTGAGATACAGGCAGTTTAACAGCAGAAGTTGCACACACAGGCAAAGCCAAAGAAGTTCATTCACTGCTTCCCATCGGCGGGCAGGTGCCCAGCCATTTCCAGGAGAGCAGGGACTCACCACATGGAACAGCGGCTCGAGAAGACAGATGTCTTATCTCTGAACGTCCCTCCCTTCCTCCCTTTTTCCCCCAGCTTTTACTGCTGAGCACCATGCCCTATGGTACGGGGTGACCCTTTGGTCAGTTGGGGTCCTCCGTCCCGGCTGTGTCCCAGCTCCCTGTGCACCCTGCGGACTCGCTGGCGGGGCAGGACGAGGAGCAGAACAGCCCTCGGCGCTGCGCGAGCGCTGCTCCGCGGTAACCAGCGCATCCCTGTGTTAGCAACACTGCTTTGGTCACAGATCCAAAACACAGCACTGCAGGAGCTGCCATGAGAGAAATCAAACTCTATCCCAGCCAAAAATCAGTACAACGTGCCATCGTGGTCGTACTTTTAAGTTTGCAGTTCTTTCCAAAGGTTTAACTACAGTTTATGAAATATAAGTTACGAGATACTATAAACCACTGAAATCAGTGTAACATTTATTCCATTAATCAAAAGAGACTTCTTAGTTTTCTTTTAAGACATATGGGGAAGAAAACCACAGCTTTTTTTTTTTTTAACTTAAAAACCAAACAAACCACAACTTCACTTTTTGACGCTTCTCTCTATGATGTGCCCCAAAAGTACTATAAAAATGTAGTGTCTATTCCTTCTAAGTAACTTAAAACCCAAACAAACCACAACTTCACTTTTTGGCGCTTCTCTCTATGATGTGCCCCAAAAGTATTATAAAAATGTAGTGTCTATTCCTTCTAAGTGATGGCTTTTTCAAGTATACTGTCTAAATGAATGCTTAAAACTGGACCAACGAAAAACCTCTACAAAAATTATATAATGATCATAGATGTGAGATGATCTCAATTTGTCTTTTCCATAATTTTATCCCTCACTCTCTTCTCACCCCAACACTGTGAAATAACTCTTCAAACCTATCTGTAGTAGATTTCTGTAACCAGCCAAGAAAACGCACATCTGAACTAGCTGGAAAATATGGTAATTTCTCCGAACAGCAAACATATCTAATATTGAGTCTCTAATAAGAAAACTCAGATGAAAAGCAAATTAATTATTAATGAAGATGTCAGTGTTAAATGTACACCTACCTCTGTGTTAAGAGGTGTAATTAGAGCACTATACCCTTCCACACAGGCAGTTGTTTTAACTGCTCTTCTTTCAATTAACACATTTCTTGGCATAGTTACCAATTTTCTAATCTCGATTTCAAGCTTAGACAACTGTTGGCTTTGATCCTACAAACACTTCCGTACGTACTCAGGCTATCGCAAACGAGCGTGCTGGTTCAGTCCCACCTCCTGCGCGGCCAGGCAGCTGCTGGGGTGACGTGGGGCAGGAAAGGAAGGAACAGGGAGATGCTCTCCAGAGCCCAGCCCCACAGAGGACCCTGTCCCCACCACCATGCCTTCGTCAAAGCACACTGAGGAAAGGAACTCAAAGTCAGTTTAGATTCTCATATTCACCTTACAGGAACAGGAAATAGCAAATGCGGGATTCGTGAGAGCCTTAAAATCAGGTACCAGTAAAACTCAGGAGGAGTTCGCAAGAAAATCTCTTTCTTCCTTAAGCAAGACTGGGATTTACTGGGCTGAAGATACTTCCTGAGTTGCATTACTCACTCCTTCGGGTATGGATAACTGGTTCATTATTGAAAAACAAGCAACCAGACTTCATCTCTCGAAAAATTAGGTTCATAGTTATATTGCCTGCCTCTTATATCATGGCCCAGCAGTTAGATCTCACCCAGAACAGGAGACTTTGTTCCTGCATCTTTCCCTGTCTGTCCGAATCCTCGTCCCCTCCAACCCTTCGCTGCAGCAGCACAGCTACCAAGCTTCGGTCAGGATGGACGCGGCCCCGCATTTGGCAAACCTTACATGTGGGTGGATCAGACAATGTACATAGGTACCGTTTATAAACGTACCCTAAAGCCTCCCTGTATTCCAGCTCTTCTAATTCTCAAATTGCTCCTGCACATTACAGAAATTAAGATCTATGCAGCCATAACGAAAACTCAGAAAATGAATTTTACTGTTCTGATGCTCTGTGCAATGCATTTCAGCATACCTTATTCACATAACTTCTTAAAGTTCCTGAATGAGAGAAAAGGTTACGGATTTGAGTTCTCTGCTACAGCAAAGAACACCTTAGAACTGAAAGACTTAAAAGTTCTGAGATGATCTTTTGGTGGATGTTGCAGAACTACAGATTTGTGAATGGTAGAAACAGTTCTAGTATAGCTCAAAAGTGTAACGTGAGATCCATTCAAACTTTGGGGGAGATTAACAGCAGACTTGAGCAGAACAGTGAGAATTTGCTATTATTTTCTGTAGATTCCAGTCTCTGATCAAAATAACGTATTCACAATCATTTAAACAATTTTTCAGAAAAATTATTAAATGCTTCATCTTGTAGCATACATCTCGGAAAATTCTTAACACCTATTCTGAATTTTGAAATTCTCTGTTTAAAAGTAAAAGCTAAAAGAACAGAAGCAGTGACAATCTAGCTCTAGGCTGGCCTGGATTTACATTTTCAAACTAGATGTACGCGTGAAAGGAAAATAAAGCCATGCAATTTGAAGTCTCTAGTTTGAAATACTCTACAATAACTTTGAAAATAGCAGCTTTTCCATCCTCTCTACCATGAGGGCTCACTGACACGGCTTTATGAAACCGTGCAGTAGGTTGGATCAGAGCAAACCAAGCCATGGAAAAGAATTGGCTTTCAATCCAACAAAGTGTATGGCAGAGACCATCTTTTTAGTCAACTGCAGAGATTTGCTTGAGTAAACCACATTCCAACAGCCACTTTGTCTCTCTAGAGGATACCTGTTGCCTCCACCATGCACAATTAGCTTGTTTACATCTAGCACATACAAGCACCAACTCCTAAAAACCTCCTGGATGTTCTCCTTTTGTACAAATGCAGC